TCTCTTTCTTGCCCCGACCGGTGTGGCTCAGTGGATAGAGGTCGACCTGGGGACTGAAGGCACATGCCCAGGTTGCAGGCTTGATCCCCAGTGGGGAGTGTGCAGGAGGCAGCTAATCAATGATTCTCTCTCATCACTGATGTTTCTATCTCTCTCTCCCTCGTCCTTCCTCTCTGAAATTAATAAAAAATATATTTTTAAAAAATAATAAATAAAATTCTTTCTTTTTTTTCAATCTTTTTAATTGGACCTGCAGTTTTTGATCCATTAGGCATTAATCACTTCAAAGGATAGAAATAATACGCTCTTTTTGAGAAACATAGACCCAAATGAGATATTATTATCCTTCTCCCTGATGGTTTTTCAAATAGTGTTTTTAAAAAACATAGTCCTTATTACTCATACTGAAATATTTATGGATGAAATTATGTGAGATTTGCTTCAGAAACTATAGGGAGGAGTCAGTGGGTGGGGCATGAATGGTACAAGACAGGCCACGAATTGATCATAGTTGAAGCTGGATGATGTGTACCTAGCCCTTCATTCTTCTGTTTTTCCACATGTTCAACATTTCCTATAACATAAAAAATTTAAATCATATTTAGATGTTGAGAAGAATCTGGCTGAAATGACCAGCGGTTCCCAGTTTAACCAAGAGAAAAAGCACTATTTTAAAAAAGAAATGGCCCGGCCGGCGTGGCTCAGTGGTTGAGCGTCAGCCTATGAACCAGCAGGTCATGGTTCAATTCCTGGTCAGGGCACAGGTCCGGGTTATAGGCTCAATCCCCAGTGTAGGGTGGGCGGGAGACAGGCAATCAATGATTCTCATCATTTATGTTTCTCTCTCCCTCTCCCTTCCTCTCAAATCAATAAAAATATTTTTAAAAAATTTTTAATAAAAAGAATAGACAATATTGCTCTACAGTGAAGGCCATTATAGCCCTCCTCAGGCCTGTCCAGTGGGCTTGTCAGCATAACAGGAGCTGCCACAGAAGCAGCTGGGGCCTGGCTAGGCAAGGATGACCTGAAGCCACTTTAGATTTGAATCTCTCACCCGGTTGGTTTAGCTCAGTGGACAGAGCGTTGGCCTGCGGACTAAGGGTCCGGGTTTGATTCCAGTCAGGTTTGGTTTCCATACTTGTTTCTGGGCCTACATAGTCTTACTTTAAAAGTCATTGTTTCCTTTATTAACTCATTAAATAAATCTTTATTGAGTACCTGCGCATGCCTAGTTCTTTTCTAGGCTCTGAGGATAAAGTAAATAGACAAGGTCCCAGACCTCTTGCAGTCCATCCTCTAACTGAGACTCACACAACAGCAAATGTAACTAGTGTTTTACAACTTCAGCTTCAGGTAAGGAAACGGAAGGTGCCTGCCCCACCAAGCAGCCAGGGAACGGCCTCTGGGAGCAGGAGGCACGTGTGTGGAAGCCGGAAAGCCGCGCTGCAGAGCCCCAGTGCTCTGTGCTGGGCGCTGCAGATGGGTTCGCGCAGATGGTCTGTGTGGCAGGAGGTGCAGGAGGCCGTGGCTGTGCCCTCCGCTGTGGGTGAAGTGGGCTTGGGCCTTCCAAGGCGCCTGAGGCGCTGAAGCCTTGTTCCTGTTCCTGATGCAGAGCTGGGAGTTTGGCATCCCTCTGTGCCGGGAGCTGGCGTGTCAGTACGAGAGCCTCTACGACTATCAGAGCCTCAGCTGGATCCGGGTGAGCTTTGCCCCTGCCCCACGCCCCCAGCCCCGGCTCTCCTGGCCGCGGGTTCTGAGAGAGCGTTCACTGCGGGCCCAGCCCTTCGCCTTAGCGCTGTTGGGTGTTAGGGAGGAGCAGAGGCCAGGTGTCGGCCTTCGAGCCCCTTGCCGTTTGGTTGGGGAACCAACATGCACTTGGTCAATGATTGTCACTCTGGTGCTCAGGGGTGAGCAGCATCCACCAGTGGAACGGCTTCCAGAAGGAGGTGGCAGCCCGACCTCACGGAGAAGCTCTTCCTGAAATGATTTGCTCAGGGTCGTGTCATCTGAAAACGCTGTGTGGTCGTCCCCTGCTGTGGCTTGTGGTCCCTTTCAGTGAGGCCAAGGCCTCATTTTCCCTTCTTCACAGCAGAATATCCGAAACTTAGGTGAAATGCCCATGGACTTGGAAGGCCGCCAGGAGGTTTTTCCTGGCTGCCAGTGCTGGGGTCGGAGTCCTGGCAGCTGCTGAGTTCATGACAAGGGAGGTCCGCAGTCGCAGCTTGCCCTCCTGCACCCTGCTCAGTGCGGCGAGCTCTGCTGCGTCCCTGGCCCGCTCGGGACTTGGGCCTGTGTAGACATGGCCTTCTAGCATCAGCTTCTCCACTGGGCCTTGAAGGCCTCTGCTTCCTGGCAGGCTGGCTCCATTGAATGCCTTAGAGCTGTCTTCTCAGAGTCCAGGGAGTGTTTCTGAATGAAAGCTTACCGGCCGTGGAAATGCTAGGCATCACGGACAGTAGCTCGGCTTTTGAAGTTTCAAGTCTCCTAAACTGGAGCCAGTACCAGTGACGCTGGCAAGTGAGCCTTCCTTAGCCTCGTTAGTCCCATGATAGATGATCAAGAGCCATGCAGCTGGACTGATGCAAACTGGTGCCGAGAACTGCTGTTGGCCCCTTGTCAGCAGCACCCGCAGGGTCAGGTGCAGTGTCGTTCAGAACCAGAAACCCGGGGGCGGGGGGTGTGGCTGCAGGTGTGAATGTCTGCCCCTGAGCGTGCAGGAAGCCTGCGCCTGTGGAACTGGGTCCGCCCACTGGGAAGGACACAGCACGGCCTCCGGGGCTGCAGGGCAGGCCTGACCGCCCCCACCCCCAGTCAGATGACAGTGGAAGAGCAGGGCTTCCGGGGAGAGGCTGAGCATGGGTCTCATCTGGACCGGAAGACAGTGTCCAGTGGGCCGGGAGGACTTGCCCTGGGCTAGCAGTGGAGCCGACTGAGGCAGCTTCTCCCCCACAGAAGATGGAAGCCGGCTGCTACGACAGCATCATGGAGCAGCAGCGCCTGGAGCCTGAGTTCTTCCGCGTGGGCTTCTACGGCCGGAAGTTCCCCTTCTTCCTCCGGGTGAGTCCCGCCGGGCGGTCACAGTGAGACCCGCCTACAGGCTCCTGGGCACCTGCCTGTCCTGCCTGTGTTTCTCACCTGGTCCCCTAGTCTGCTGCCTGCAGTGCTTCTCCCTGAAGGACTGACCAGCCAACGAAGGCCCTCGGCTTTCGCTGCCCGGACGGCCGGCTGCTCTAGACCCTGTTTGCTCTGGGCGCTCGTGAGCGCCTCCTGAACCAGGTCCCGCAGGATGTGACCAGGGCCTGAGCCTGTCACATCAGCATGTGCAGAAGCCTCCCCCTCCTGCTCTCAGTGCCTGGCGTCCTCCATGTGCCTGCTCAGCCGGCAGCACCCAGTCCAGCCCTGACCTTGCAGTAGGCCGGCCTCTGAGGGGTCTTCATGTGTAGAGCTGTGGGTTTGGGACAATCCGAGGACAGGCCCCTTGCTCAGGGGCTGTGGGAAGCCTTTCTAGGCAGCTGTTTCCCTGCCCAGGTGAAGCAGACATTTCCCCCCGCTGCCTGGAAGGCTGGGCCGGGACATGAACATGGAGGGACGACGGAGCATAGCCGTCCTGACACGAGTTGAGCAGCTGTGATTTCTTTCCTCAGCAGACCCAGAGGCTCCAGGTGGAGTCAGCTGTAGGCTGGAGCGGGGGTGGTGGTGGGGGGGGGCGTTATCTTGGTCAGATGGGCCTGTGGGCGGCCGGGGGCTGCAGTTGAGACCTCAGGCAGCTCCGATTGCCCCCAGTCCCAGTGCTGGCTACAGTTCAGTGCCCACGCGTCTCAGCACGCAGATGGGGAGGTTCAGAGACTCCTCGATATGTTTGGGATCCTGTCTCCTTGGAGAAATCACTTGAGCCAGTGCGCATGAGCGTGGTATCACGTCGAAGGTCAACTGTGCTCGTGCTCCTTTAAAAAGCCGTCTGCCAGTCACAGACTCCAGGCCATCCAGGTCTCAGGGAAGGCAGGGCAGCTTGCACATCTCCTGGGTGAGAAGAAAATGATTTCTGTAGGAACTAATACTGACAGGGCGCTGCCAGCACCCGCTGCAATTCCAGCCACAGCCAGGATTCTGGTAGCAGAATGCGAGTGAGCCGAGGCCTGTCGGGGGTGCTGGACCTCCTCCACACGCTAGGGCCTTCCAGCCCAGGCGTTTCGGAAGCGGCGCGTTTGTTGCCCCGTCAGCGTAGATCATACTGCAGCAGGGGGCAGAGGTCAGCAGAGAAGGAAGGAATTCTCCAGGAATTAGAAGCCAAATGCCTCTCTAGGAAGTCCTTTCACAAATGAATGATCCTGGCACTATAACTTCTTTCTCATTTCATCTTTGCAAATTGTGCTTCATTGTCATTTTATTCTCCTTTCCAGTCCCACAATTTGTATATGATAAACCAAATTTTACTCCAAAGCATCAGCATGTTGGATATAGGTTACAAAATCATGCCCTGGTGTCCCCCATTTCTGTCCCTGCCAAACAGGAGGTCTCGTCATGGTTCGGCCTGACTCCCACCCCGCATGCTCATGTCACAGGCACAGTGGTGTCTCGGGGCTCTCAGAGCGTCTGAGAGCGGGACCTGGCACAGAACCTGCACCGGAGCCGCCAGGTGCTGCAGTGACGTCTCAGTGTCCAGATGTGGTTTCAAGGGGGCCAGGAATGGCAGAACAACACCGGGCTGTCAGTCTGTCCCTGTGTCCGCATGAGGCGCAGTCCCTAGGAATGAGGATTCATGTGTACAAATCGGGCTGGGCTGGCCACGTGCTATGCTGCCCTCCCTTCCCTCCGCTGCCCAGTTCGTCTGCGGCAAATGGAGGAGGCCCCAGAGGAGGCAGCTGTCTGCCTGCCAGGTGCAAGGACAGTGCAGGGCAGTGGCAGCGGGTCTGTCTCATGTCGGTGCTGGGCTCTCGCCTGCCTGAGCGAATGAAACTAACAATGAGCCTCAAGGTCAGCGCTGTGTACTTCCTGCTGCTGGGTCTCCCTGAGCACATGGGCCATCGATTGCATTAGCTGCCAGCTTGGTGCCTCTGGACCATCTGCCTGCCTCCCTTCACCACGTGAGGCTCTAGGGGCGCTCAGGCAGGAAGACACCGGCCTCCCTTCTCGGGGGAGTTCTTTCTCTCCGTTTGACCGTGAACAGATCCTGGTGAGGTGGTACCTTTGAGAGTGGGTATGAAAATGCCAGTTCTTCATAATTCCTTGTCAGTTCTGCTTATCAGGCAGGGGACTTGGAAGTGGCTCTGTCCTTTGACCGCTGGTCTGTTCCACTGGAGCAGCCAGCTGGCTTCTTGTGACCTTGACTTCGTCCTGGTGTTGCCCTTCCATTCTGAGCCATCAGACATGTGGCCTGCCTGAGCCGGCTTCTCCTACAGAAAGAAGAGGGGGTGCAAATCCCACTCCAGACAGGCCGAGGTCCCCCATGGCCCGGCCTCGGTCGTCCCCGCCCACGAGGCATCTGCTGGCCTGTGGAACCTCTTCCTGTCTGTCCCCTGAGACAGGCCAGGAGGGGCTGCCTGCCTCCCGCCACTTTGTCAGAGTGGGTCTGGCAGCGGCTGGGCAGGCAGAGAGCGTGACCCGCAGGCTTCAGGGGACTCCCCAGCGGGGGGCAGACAGCAGAGGGATGAGGGTGCCTTGTGGTGACTTCAGTCCAGCAAGGGGAGAAAATGAGACCTCACCCAAACCGAATATGATAGGGCACAGAAATGCGTACTTAGAATCCTATCAATTTGTTCTGTGAGGCACTGGCAAAGGAGTCACTGCAATAAACAATTCCCGAATCCCTGCCAGCCACTGGGCAATGGCTTCTCCCGGCGCCAAAAGTGGCCCTTGAGCAGCACACACCCAGGCCGCCCAGCCACCCCCAACCCCCGCAGTTCTCCACCCTCTCCAGCTGCGCCTCTGCCCGCCTGGCAGTACTTGCCCTGGTTGGCACTGTGCCACACAGGTTGCCCCTTCCCGCTCCTCTCTCCCAGGCTGACCCAGCTGGGCCTCAGGACGCTTTCAAAATCTCACCCCCACCTTGCACCCCTTCCCGGGTGCCCTCCAACCCCCAGCAGCTTGTGCCTCCCCACTGCCACCTCCCAGTGCCCCCTGTGGACCAGGACTGAGCACTGCCCCGGGCCTGCCTCAGCTCCTAGGCCTGGCTTGTGAGACGAGTAACCGCTGAGCCATGTGGAGGCGGGGCCGCAGGCGGGGCCTAGAGTGTGCTCTCTTTTCGGCAGAATAAAGAATACGTGTGCCGTGGCCACGACTACGAGAGGCTGGAGGCCTTCCAGCAGAGGATGCTCAGCGAGTTCCCGCAGGCCGTCGCCATGCAGCACCCCAACCACCCCGACGACACCATCCTGCAGTGCGATGCCCAGTGTATCTTTCCACGCGGCGGGGGAGGAGGGCAGGGCCCGCGAGGGGAGGCCCACAGGCAGTGGCCCCTCTGCCATGCCGTTGGCCGTGGAGGCTAGGTTACCATAGGTCCTGAACCAGAGCATGTCCTCACCGGGCCCCCAGTCAGCGGGACTCGTGCCTCGCAGAGGAGGCCCTGGCTGCCCTTAGCCGTGGGGCACCTAGTCCTCAGGGCCTCCGAAGGACCTCGGTCCCTCCGGCTGGCTGCTACCCGCCTCACCCTGCTCTCTGAAGGGCCTCCCTAGGTGATCAGGAGCAGTCCCTGTACAGGGTGACTTGGGGTCCCACCGGGACTATTGCCACAGGAACACCACCGGTCTGTGCCCTGCTGCGCTGCTGCCGGCACCTGTTCCTCTCCTGAGTATCTGTCGGGACTGAGGCGGGGCTCGGGGATGGGGGGGGGCGGGGGGCCGTAGGAGATGGGAACGCGTGTGGGAGTCTGAAGGCAAACACTGGCCCCCAGGCCCTCCCATCGCTGCCTGTGAGCCCTCATGACAGTGGGTAGCTTGTTCGGCGGGTAGAGGGGCAGGTGGACACCCATAGATTCTCTCCCTCCAAAGAATATTGTATTAAAAGATTGTTTTACAGTAAATAGTTCACTTACATTGGGCAGGCCCAGGCCCCGGCAACTCTCTCACTCCTGTGGGCACCTCATTTTCCTGGCCCTTCTCTTTCTGGATTGAGGGCACCAGAGTGCACTTGGCATTGACAGCTCAGCTGGCTGAGTGCTCGGGAGACACGTGGCCTCGGGGAAGGGCTCAGGTCAGACTGGGTCTGACCCACCGAGGGCTGTCACCTCCTCCATCAGGGACAGAGGCTGCGGTGCTCCTCCTTCGGGGTGACGTGGGCCAGCCCCTCAGGTTCACCTCTGGCAGATCTGGGTTCCCTTCACTTCCTGCGCAGACTTGCAGATCTATGCGGTGACGCCCATTCCAGATTGCGTGGATGTCCTGCAGATGGACAGGGTCCCGGATCGCGTCAAGAGCTTCTACCGCGTCAATAATGTGCGGAAGTTCCGGTACGACAGGCCTTTCCACAAGGGCCCCAAGGACAAGGAGAACGAATTCAAGGTGACAGACTGGGAAGCGGGCAGCATCGGTGACCAGGGCAGCTCCGCGCGCCGGCACCTGGTCCCTGCGTCACCCTTCAGGCAGGTGGTGCGGCCAAGGTGGCCTAACGCCTGTCCCTGCCTGTGCCCGCCCCGCAGAGCCTGTGGATCGAGCGCACCACGCTGACCCTGACCCACAGCTTGCCTGGCATCTCTCGGTGGTTCGAGGTGGAGAGGCGGGAACTGGTGAGCCATGCGGCGACGGGGCTGCTCAGCCCGGCTTTGGGAACTTCCTCTAAGGGCTGGAGAAGGAGCGAGCTGTGGTCTGCCGCCTGCCCGGGCCCCGCGGGCCCTCCTGTGCAGGCGGTCGCCCCTTCTCTCGGTCAGGCCTCCACCGCGAGGCAGTGCCCTTGCAGGCTCCCGCTCACAGGGAGGAAGTGCCCTCCGCTCTCTGACCTCAGCCCCGTGCTCTTCCCCTTCTCACGCCAAAAGGCCCGGGGTCCTGTCCACAGGAGCCAGGCGGGAAGCAGCTTCCAGGCCTGTGATGGGGGCGCTGCTGGGCCTGTGACCACACGGTGTCCTGTGTGCCCAGGTGGAGGTGAGCCCCCTGGAGAATGCCATCCAGGTGGTGGAGAACAAGAACCAGGAGCTGCGGGCCCTGATCGGCCAGTACCAGCACAAGCAGGTGCACGGCAACGTCAGCCTGCTCAGCATGTGCCTGAACGGCGTCATCGACGCTGCGGTCAATGGAGGCATCGCGCGCTACCAGGAGGTGAGGGGGGCGCCCACACAGCCCTGCCTCCCGGGACAGCTTCCCAGTCCCCCTCTCCGCTCTGCCTCGCTGGCTGAGGGGTCCTGGGGCGAGGCGGGCGGCTCCCCTCCCTGTTGCTGTGGCACAGCGCTGGGAGGGCCCTTCCTTTTTATTCTCGGAACTCTGCCAGATTAGGAAGCTTGTGATTAGGGAGCCATGTTAAGTGGCCCCAAGAGGAGTCCTGAAGCCAGCCCTTCCCAGGAAGTGAGTTGGGAGCTGGCTAAGACCCTAACCCCACACTCCCCCTGGCGACCAGCCCGGCCTGCCCTCCCAGGCCATCCAGCCCCGAAGGGCAGGACGAGTGTCTCGGCTTAGGTGTCAGCCGCCGTCAGGCCTCAGACACAACAGGCACCTGTGACTGCAGGAGGGCCAAGCAGTCCACTGAGGCGTGGGGGGTGCGTCCCTGTGAGCGGCCGCCTCACAGCCTTTCAGACTCGACCGCTCCAGGCCCCATCTAAGTGCATCCTGGGAGCGGCTTCCTGAAGTGGCCTTTCCTTTCGCAGGCCTTCTTTGATAAAGATTACATCACCAAGCACCCCGGGGATGCTGAGAAGATCGCCCAGCTCAAGGAGCTCATGCAGGAACAGGTATGTCTCGCAGGGCTCGGGGCCAGCGGCCAGGAGGGAAGGCTGTGCGCCCAGGAGACTGCTCCCTGCTAACAGAGCGGCGTGGTCTGTCCCCTAATAGGTTCACATCCTTGGAGTCGGGCTGGCAGTTCACGAGAAGTTTGTGCACCCGGAAATGCGCCCTCTGCACAAGAAGCTGATCGATCAGTTCCAGATGATGCGGGCCAGTCTCTACCATGTGAGCTGATGCCTGCACTGCCCCTGCTGCTGTGGGACCAGGTCCACTCCCTGCAGACCTGTGAGCGAGCGGAAGGAAAGCGGGAGCTGTCTCCCCGCAGAGTGGGCATTCTGTCCAGAGGGGGGAGGCCCAAGCCCCTCATTCCCTCTCTCCCTAAGGAGGCGTCAGATTCAAGGGCAAAGAACATTGTTTCAAGGTACTGTGCTCTGAAAAGAGGTTTCCATACACGAGGAAAAGAGCCAGAGTACATGTAGAGATCACTTTGGAGCTGTTTTTCATCCAAGAACCTAAAGCTGTAAGGCATAGCCTAAGCCAGCCCACTCTCCCCTCTCCTCTCTCCCTCCCCATCTCCATCCCCTCTCCCCACCTTGTCCCAACGCTCCCTCCCTCCCTCTCTGGCTTCTCTTCCCTCTCTTTACCCTTCCCCTCCAGGTGCCTTCCTCCCCTCTCCTTCCAACATGTCTGGTGACCCAGGCTCACATCTGAGGACGCCTCGGGTGGAGAATACGTGCATACTGGCTGCTCTCAGGCCAGGCAGGTCTCCCTGACTCTGGCCTGGCTCTCGGGCCTCCACGGCAGGGTTTGGCCCAGGGACTCATGCTCACAAGAGGAGCAGGGCCTGTTTTCCAGGACTGTTTCCCCTCCAGGGGTCTCACAGGGAATGCTGGCTGGCTGAGAATAGTGTTCACATGGTCTCGAACCCCTGTTCACATCCCTCACCCCATGTTCAACCATGGGGTGACCCCAAGTGTTCTAGAGAAGCCTCCTGCTAGACAAGCTGGCTGCCAGGTCTCCAGGGGGAGGGCCCAGTTACTGTGCCCTCATTACCCAGGGCCACTGGGTAGAAGTGGTGAGAAGGCATGGGACACAGAGCCAGTCGGGGGGCAAGGCCGTGGCGCAGACATTCCTCTTCCGGTCACCAAGCTCAGAGACAGCCGGTGCGCGCAGGAAGGCGGGGAGGCCAGCAGGTGTGTGTCCTGTCTCCTCGGAGTCACAGACAGGGACACAGCCCGGTGCTGCCACCAGGAGGCTTTGGGACCAAAGCTTTCTGCGGAGACGGCCGCATAACTGAGAATCCAATTACACTGAAGTCGATGGCGCTGTTTTTCAGTAACTTACACCAGGATTGTGTGTCCTGTTTCCCCATAAACTGCGTCACAGACAACTCAGCCCAGGTCACAGACAGCTGGTCCATGCAGCAACCCTATAAAAGCCAGCCCGTCCTACACAAGAAGCGCCATGGCTGACAGCGACACT